AGAGGTCGGGAGCGCTGCTGGGTAGAGAGGAGGTGTGCGGCAGCAACGGGTAAAGTTTTGAGTTCTGCTTGTCAGTGTAAATTCGAAGTTGCGTGAAGGTTGGATTAATTTTGTTTGCTTGTCTGCAGAGCTGACTCTGAAAAGTGAGGGTGGGATGCAATACAATGGGTTCAGGTCCCAAAAGACCAAGCTACCCCACGTTCCAAATATAAAATTGCCTTTCGCTACCAGAATCCTTGGAACTCGCATAGATTAGTCTGTGCTCTTCAAAGATATTTAAAGTTCATTAAATACAAGATAGCCTGCATATGAGCACACTACTAGGTTTGGTTTTTATTTAAACGGTGTCATATGAGCACACTGTTGTTACTATTAGGTTTGTTTTTTATTTAAAGTGTCAATTCCTTTGGGAAATATCATATATCGCGTTTATTTCACTTACATTCAGATGTCTGATTTTATGTCACATATTAACACATAAAAAGTTTCTGGGAGACTCTCCAAAGTAGTAAGCATCTGCCCTACTTGTCACTGACAATGTCTCTAGCAATAAGTTCTTTCATTATTTCATTGGTGCCACCGTAGATTGGCTGAACACGGGCATCCACGAAAGCTCTGAGGGGGGAAAACAAACAAGCAAAGATTAAAAACAACTCCTGGGAATGGACATACAAGCAAAAGAACACCAGCATTTTATCTTTGGAGATCCCTCTTTTCAAAGTATGCTATTCCCACAAGGGAGCCAGAGAAAGAAACTGCAGCAACAGGACAAGGGGTAATGGGTTCAAAATGAAGGACGGGAAATTTAGGCTGGATATTAGGAAAAAGTTCTTTCCTGTGAGGGTGGTGAGACACTGGCACAGGTTGCCCAGGGAGGCTGTGGCTGCCCCAGCCCTGGCAGTGTTCAAAGCCAGGCTGGAGGAAGCCTTGAGCAACCTGCTCTGGTGGAAGGTGTCCCTGCCCAGGGCAGGGGGAGTTGGGACTAGATGATCTCTAAGGTCCATTCCAACTCCTACAATTCTATGATTCTGTGATTCATATTTTCTAAGAAGCTTCAACTACCTAAAAATATTTCAACTTTCCAAGGTGCCGTTTGCCAAACCAGGAATTGGGTCAGCACCTCTTCCCTTGTTCAAGTGTCTACTATCTCCCCAAATCAAACACAAACAAAACAAAGCTCTGCACACCCAGACTCCTACCACTTTCCCCCCAGTTCTTGTTCCCTCCTTTCCTCATGCCACCTTGTGCATTAACTCCACTCCGGGCACAATCTCCCAGTCCTCTCCACGCACTCCCTGGAGAACTGTGCACCTGCAGGAACTGCAACACGCAAGTGCCTCCTTGCTGTGAAAAAAAAACCCAACCCAACTCCTGCAGTGCTAAACTGATAGTTATCAGGGTAATTTGCACTAATGCCCTGGCCTGTCTGATCCTGTCAGGAGGACTGCTAACGGTGCTCTCAGTTCTTTCCTTGAGGTGAGACTCAAACACCTCAGCAGAAAAAGTGCCAACTGGTTCCACATCAGCTGGCGATAGCCTTCTCCTGACACCAGCTCCAGCTCTGTCCGGGCCAGCAGCCGGAATGCTGCACACAGCCAAACCATTTCTGTCCTCCTGCTGGAACCAGCCCCAGTGCACACACAGCTGGTGACAGCACACAGGACGATGACAGAGACCTTTTCCATCTTAATTCTGCTTCCCTGTAACAGAGAGCAGCCCAGGAGCAACACGGCACTCTCCGGAAACACACATGTTGCTGGATCACAGGGATAACACAACCCTGTATGGGCAACTACTGCACACAGATAAGCAGTCGTTCGAGGGCACCCTGAGCAGGGCTTGCTGGCCTTGCTTAAGAAGACAAGGTGCAGAACACTCACAAATTACACTCATTGAAAACAGGCAGGAACAAGTTCTTTTAAAGCAACATTTCATACTCATAACACATTGAAAATAAAAAACCCCAACAACTAAAACTACCCAGTTAAGAAATTATTCATCTGTTTATGACAACTGCACAGCAATCCTGTTTTTGCTATTTCTACTGTCAGATTTTCTTTTTTTAAAATAAGAACAGCACCAAAAGCTCTGCTTAGTGTGGTAAATGACATGTACACAAACTTAAGGGATAATAGACAAGGAAATATACAAAAACTCCATTAATGGCTCTAGATTCATAAAGTCAGCAAAAAAATTAGGAATGGCAAATTTCTCTTTCTGCACATAAATCTCTTCGTTTTCTCATTTCAAAAGGTGTAAAAAAGCTGAATGTAGCCAGCCATGCTCTTGATTCAGCAATTTGATCTTCTGTGGTATTACACAAGACTTGGATGAACATGTTTTCTTTTCCTCAGACCTATACATTTAATTTCAGAAAAAGCATACAAACTAGCTCCTCTCATTTTTATTTGTACACTTTCGCTTCTCTGCTTTTCCAATTAACACCTTCCTCTGGAAAACCAACTTCTATTTTGCGAAAAAAAACCCCAAATAATTGCTGAACAGCTCCTGAGTTATTTGGAGAGTCAAAAACAAAGCGTTCCTACGACTGCCTTTCAATAAACATGATGAGGAAAGGAACAGTAAATCGCTCCCAATGCTAAACAACTGACATGCAGACATAAAGGAAGTGCCCCGTTTGACTTTGCAGGTAATCTGAAATGTTACACTTACTTTGCAATTGGATACTCCCACATGTACCCCCATCCTCCGTGCATCTGCACACACTGAGTAGCTATGCTGTTTTGGAGATCAGAACACCTTAAATGGCCAAAAAGAAATTTGTTTTTAGAAGGATGTTATGCTGCAAAACATCATGAGAGATAAAGATATGTTAGCAAGACAAATATGTAACATGGCCAGTAAGGAATAAATAGGGTTCAACTGAATGTACTAAAGATTTGTTTTCTTCGTGGAACAGCTTTCGGAAATGTTCCAAAACAGACAGGCTTGTTTACCTTTCTCACAGGTCGAAAGATTCCTTTTGTGAAGCAGGTTGAAATAGCCTTTTTTTCTTACCAAATCCCTCAGCTTTGTCAGAAATTAACAGCAAACCAGGTTCCCCCTCCCTCCCCACTCCCACTAGGAACACACCAGGATGCTCTTTTAGCATAACCATCCCCTGGGGATAACTTATTTTCCTCAATAAATTTTATAGTCTTCAATTCTAAAAACTACTGTAATTCTTCAAGAGGATTTCCTCACTGCAAAATAGGGCTTTAACAGAAAAAAAATAAAAATTCAACTGCACTAGAAGCTCAAGCCAAAGTTAGAAGACAGGAAAAAAACCACTTTCTAAGCATATAGCTTTCAGAGTGGCAACAGAAGGAATGAAAATGACAACTCAAGTCAATTTCTTCTCATGGAGTAAAGTAAGAAACCTTTTCTCCAAGCCATCCCCTCATTCAGCGAAATCCTTACAGTTTATTATACCAACTCCAAGTCTGCAGCAGTGACTTACTGCAACTGTCCTTCCTAAATACATCCTCAAATTAATTTAGGTATGTAACACAACCTGTCATAAAAAAAAAAAATCCTGAAAAAACAACTCTCCAGACCTTTCTCCAGATCTCAGATGCACAATCATGTTTTAAAATCCTTCAAATCTCTCACTCGAATCACTGACTATACAAAAGGTCTGAAGCAAAATGAACTGCAGAGAGTCTCCTGACACATTAGAAAATAAAGGAATTCTATATTCAAGCATTTTTTAGACAATTTAAGACAGTTTTATGGAAGGGAGTCATGGGAACTTCACTAGGGAAAGGGGAAATCCGCAACAAATCACGATGCTAAACAGTTGGGAAAGTGAAGGAGTTTCAAATGCCTCACCTTGGGAGATTTGTTAAGGAACTAAGTCTGCATATTTGAGCTGGCACCAGTCGTTTCCTCCTCCTCAAAACTGAATGCCTCTGCTTAAGTACCTGGTACTTCTAAGTAATCAGTGCCAGGAATACCAGTCAATCAAAACTCTTCCTCCCACTGTAAACATTCTCTGCTTGTTTTCTCTATACATTTTTAAAAGCCTAGAATCTGTAAATCTTCCATAAAACTCTCGGTTCATGTCTGATGTGCTATTTTTTCTCCCACCTTTGCAAGCAAACTAGAACTAGGCAAATCTATGTGCCACTTAGATGTTTCCACTCACCCAGATTTCTCTGGGTAAATATAAGTTAACAGATAACACCACCAAGTAGGGGATGAGGGGGGAGGACTTCTGGCCAATAAAGGAAAACACTGCTTAGTCTCAGTTACAACCACAGCCAAGTATTTCTTCCCCAAACCAGACAGCTTTGAAACTGGCTGGGCCAAGCAGCATCATATATATTCAAATTTGGCTTCAAATATTCGTATTTTGCTTTAAAAAGACCGCCACAAAACAAGCCACACACCCCATTAAAGTAACCCACAAACAAACCCAAAACACACCCAACAATCTGCTACAGTAATTTTTGTTTCAATACCAATGGAGCACTCACTTTTACTGGAATCTGAGGCTGAGACCTGACCTTGTTGTCAATGGAAGCCTGTTTTAAAAGCTTGCCTTTATTCTGAAATTGATCTGTTTAACCAACACCAGTTTTCAATGCAACTAAGATTTTTTTTGACCATATGATTTAAAGTTAAAGCTAATGGTCTCTGCTAGAAGCTGACAAATGTTGTCATTAATCAGACAGTAATTTTATCGTTTCCTTAGATCTGAACAGCTCAGTGTTTTTATCACTGGACTCCTGGCAAGATCATGCAAGCTCCAGACAGCTGTGAGCACGTACCAGTACTTAGCCATGGAGGCTGTGGCTGAGTCCAGGCGTTTCTCCGCATGCAGCTGCAAACAGTTGTCCAGGAAAGCTCGGGCCACACAAATCTGAGTTTTTATTTCAGCCAGCTTGTGCTGTACAGTCTTGTTTTGGAAGGGGATAGAGGGGCCAGAGGAAAGAGAGCAGAAGTAGCACAGTTTAAGTATTACTTGAAGCAGAGTGTTTTCTAAAAGAATGTATAAGAAATCACTATTGCAAACAACTCTGGTTCACCAGACGACACCTTACTTTCCAGGCAATTATGTCTTCACCAGTCTAACTAGGGAAAATTACTGACCTTTACTTCTCAAGGTCAAATCAAGACATGAATTTAAGACAAAAACCCCAAGAGCCTGGAAAATAAATTCCTAGAGAGCACAGGCCTTTGGTGATGTATCACCCTCTGCTCCCTCTTGTGGGAGAATGTCCTTTCACATTGTATAGCCACTAATTCCCCCAAGTAATAACATTCCACCATCTACTGAATGCTTTTTCTATGCACTCAGCTCTTCATAGTTTAAGTCACATGCAAAGGGACATAAGCAAAAAAATAAAATAAATTTTAGACTATCACAAAGTTTTTCAGCCCCAAGCTCTGTCACACTGGAAAAGAGTTTCTAGAGAGAAGAGGCAAAAATCCATCACCAAGGTTAAGTAAAACCAGACCAGGAAGGCATTTGACCACCTTCCTGTGGGGATAAAAACATCACCCAGTAACAAAAGTTCTTTCTAATCTCAGCTCTAGAAGTGCATATTAAAAAAAACTACCTTCTTGCTTCCCTTGACAGAAAGGCACTGGACCAGTCTACTGTTAGAAAGCAAAGATTTGATTCCAAATGCTGTAACATGGCATGACTAAATGAACTAGCCAAGGCAGAGCCCTAATTAGAAAGGACTATTTATTATATGCACATCTAGCCATCAGTAAAAAAAAAGGGAAACTGAAGAAATATACAGAAATTTTGGCAAAACCAATATTCCTTATAATGTTTATTGGCCACCAGGTGGTTGGCACAGGCCTAGCCTAAAAAAAGTAGATTATTTTGCAGATCTGTGCACACTCAACTATTACAAATAGGAAGCATCCCTTACCTACATTAAAAAAGCTAAAATGTACTTCTTGTTGTGTTAAAGCTGCCCCTTGCACATACTAAATTCCATCAGGAGTTACGGATTCCTGAATGTTAACTTTAAAAGCAGACAAAGGTCACAATGACCTGAAAGATACCTAGCACTCAGCCTCTAAAGGGCCCAGCTCTGCTGCTCTTCACCACTAAACATTTGATTTTGACTTGAGTAGCCTCAAGACGTAGAACTGGACGGGGTTTTTTTTGTTACTTATTTCAAAAGTGTATTAAAAACAGAGGCAGATAACATCCTTAACTTGTATGAGTCACTTCTATAAACCAAACATGCAGGAGCTTGGTCTGCTCCGGCCCTAACAGCTAATG